TCGGGTCAGGTTAAGTAAGAGCGGGGGGAGCGGCGCGAGGGGCGGGGAACCCGGCGGCCGGCTGGAGGAGGAGGGCTGGCTGCGCTGGCACCTCCCAGCCCGCTCCCGGGGGGCTCGCACCCACTCGCTCCCCGCGGCGTCCGCACCCACTGTCTTCTCACTCCCTCCAGCACCGCCCAGACTTCTTCACTCACGTCCTCCCTGCCTCCCCTCGCCGGGGCACCCTGGAGCAAAAGTGTAGGTCCTCCCTATAGGTCGCCCTAGGGTATCTGCAAACAGGGACACTGCGAGTGAGGGGCAGCTGTCCCAGAGACTCGCCCAAACTTCCCTCCTTTCCTCCGGTCCTCCATGCCCGGATCTCTCTGATCTGAGGCTACACCTGGTACCATCACTTGGCCCATCCACTTGTCTCTGCTTTCCAGGCCCCCCAGCCCTGCCCCCCAGTCATGCTAACTGAAAGATAAATGAGGAATACCTCCTGAGATTGACAGAAGTAAAGCAAAAAAATGCGGGGCAGGTTCTGCTGGACTCTAAGCTGCTCTTGGAAACCCTGGGGAAGGGTGGGGTCCCCACCTCCAGCTCACTCACCTCCTCCTTCAGTAAGCATCTCGCAGGAAGACCTGCCAGGTAGATGCTGCAGACAGATGGGAAAGGCAAGATTCCTGCCCCCGGGAGCCCAGAGCAAACAAACAAACTGTCACATGGCAGGGAGGTAGGTGCTCGCCCAACACCCATTAATCACCCAGCCGTTACCTGGCACTGCCAGCCCCAGCAAGACAGAGATTGGCTAGTGGATAAGACTCAAGCCTTTTCTGGAAAAGCTCACCGCAGAGGGGGACCCATGGTCCAAGCCAATGTGCCATGAAAAGCTGACAGGGAGGGCGGCCCAGATGAGACACCTGGCCTTCACAACAGGGGAGGCCAGCTCTTAGTCATGAGCTGGAGTCAGCCAGGCAAAATGAAGTGTGCATTCAGGGATTTCAAGTTATCCAGTGGCTGAAGCAGGGGTGGGGAGTTGTGTAAAAGGTAGAGGAAGAGGGAAGGGGTGCAGAGGGGCCCAGACCCAAGCTGATGGTGCAGGTGGTGGGGAGGCAGGCAAGGGATGTGGTCGGTGGGAGTGCCGGCTTGGAGAAGATCAGATGAAAGAAGGCCAGACCAGAGGCAGAAGTCCAGGTAGCCAGGAGGTGACCGTGTGAGAGCTCGAATGGCGGTCGAGGCAGTGGAGCTGGGAAGCAGGCAAGGTGAGGAGGTGATAAACGTGGGGGCCCTACACAGTAAGTTGGGGAGAAAGTAGAGTCAAGGATGATTAAAGTGATGGGGGCATGGGAACTGTGGTGGCTGGTGGTAGCATTTTTAGAATGAGGGACAAAAAGGGGGTGTAGGTTTCCCCAGAGAAAATAAGTGTTTTCAAACACACTGAATTTGAGGTGCTCGTGACTCATACCGTGGACGGCTGAGTATAAGGAGTGTGGGCCCCAGGATGTAGCTACACACCTGGGAGTCATCCTCCAGGGGGCGACACATAGAGCCAGAGGCAGGTGATGACAGGTGGACAGAGCACAGGTGGCAGAGAGGAGACATGGACAGAGAGCAGGCTTAGGGAGGCGAAGGAGTGCTGACGGGAGCAGGAGGAAAGGGGACAGTGCAGCGAGAGCCCTAGATGGGAGCCGTAAGCAGTGGACGAGGCTGCGCACAGGACAGAGCCACTGTGCTGGACACAGAGAGGCCCCTGGGGACCTGGCTGTGGAGAGCAGGGGAACTGAAGCCAGATGATGGTGTCCTGGTGGAGAGATGAGTTGATAGAGACGGTGAATACAGAGTGTAGACAGTCCTTTCAAGAAGACTGTCTGAGAAGAGAAAGGGACAGTTCGGATGAAAGCCAGGGAGAGAAAAAAATCAAGTGCCACTTAGGGATGTCGGATGAGGAGTTCAAAGCCATGGAGCAGAGCCATGTGGGGGCTGGAGGAGGGGCTGGATTCTGAGGACGTAAAACTATGGAGAGCCGGACAGCGGAATGATGGAGTGGGTAGGGAGGAGGGCACAGGCTTCCAGGAGGTTGGTTTCAGTGGTAGTATTGATGAGACTGGAAAACCCTTGGGTGTGAACGAGAAGAGAGAGGGAGGCGTCAGAGATAGAGGCAAGGTTCACAGATGGAGGGCTGATGCATGAACTGGCACCTGGCGCAGGTGTGCACGTGGGTGAGTGAGAGGAGTGAGTGTGGCTGCAGCAGTGTTCATGTTGTGTACAAGTCACCTGCATTTCCAGGCGAAAATGGACAGGACGGAGCTGCATTCAAAGGTCTGGAGAGTTCAGGAAGATGTGAGGATTGGAGATGCAAATTCGAGTGCTGGTGACTGAAGCCATGGACTGGATGAATGCCCTCAGGAACATGTGTCGGAGGAGATGAGGAGAAAGAGCAATGGGAAAAGGGAAAGGGATGGCCATCTGGAACCTGCCAGAGTACGCAGCTGGAGAGGGCAGGCAGAGAAGGAACCCTGAGGGAGTTCAGAGGCCCACGGAGATCCAGAGAGGCCATAGGGGAATCTCTGAGAGCCACCATCATTGCCAGGTGGGGCAGAGAGTTTAAGCTGGACCATAGCCACGGTGGTTCCTAGCAATATGGTTGACTCTTAGGAAAACAGACTCTGAGGCTATAAGAAAGTCTTCTAGTGCTGCAGAAACAGACTACCGAGAAACCAAGCGCCACTCAGAGAGTAGAACTAAGGTTTCTTACGCTGCGGACCCTGAGGAGTTCAGACTCCAGAATCTGGGCTCTGACCTGGGGAGGGGTAGGAGGTTATATTGGTTTCTGGTTTAGGGGAGGGTAGGTACATTGGTCAGGGGTTACAGGTGTTGCCACAAAGGAAACATGGCAGTAAGGTTGCCAGACAGCTCGTTCTTAGTTCTCAGAACCTTCTCTAGTTTGAAAACTCATCACCGTGTCCTATAGACACTAGCACTCTGTCTTGCAAGCAACTTACAGAAGCAGAACAACATTTGGTTAGTTACAGTCTGTCTTGCAGGCCGGTTACAGACGCAGAACAGAATCCATATCACTAGAACATTCTTTTTTTTTTTTTGAGAGGTTTTTGCTATAGGGTGCGTGCGCTCGCCAGACAAACAGAGAGAAACAGAAAGCGAGAAATCATCCCCCAGGGGGGGTGGCCATGCCGCAATCCCTTCTCCTCCCTTCTCCTGTCGGGATCTTGGGCACGCACGCACACGCGCCCGGCGTGAGTTTTAAGCCACTGGGTCCGGGACTGGAACCACAGTCAACTACGTGGGAGTCCAGTGACATAGCCATTATGCTAACTGCTGGTCCCTCGCTAGAACATTCTAACCCAAGCCTGCAGTGTTTGCACTGAAGATTAAGGGGATGTTCTGACTTCGAGCATGGGCAAAGCCAGGTCCTCCCTAGATACCTCCTCCATCTTTCTCCTACCCTGTATCTTCAGAAGGGAGAGGTGGGACATTGATTTTGACTCTGCTGGTTGCCTGGTGGGGCATGTTGCCATTTCTGCCATTTGGGGGAAAACATTCCCTTTGTCCGGTCCAGATGGAGCTCACACTGTTCACTAGTGAGGGCTGTCAAGCACAGACTCTGGTCTGAAGTCAGTGTGTTTTCCCTAAAATGACTCTTTGAGAGGAAAGTTTGCTGGTGCTTGTGCTGGGTCAGTTTGGAACTGAGCTCCCAGGAGTTAGCTCTGCTTTGCCTTTGACTCATTTTTCTCATTGCGATGTTTATCATCCTTTTCTTTTCTTTTCTT